ACGCTTCTACATCTGGATGGAATTAAAACATCTTCATATTATGGTTGATGCAAATTCACACGAATTTTCTTCCATTTCAAAAGGCCAGTTTTTGCCTTCTCCTTGTCCTCTAATTACTCCTCATTGGTTCACCGCTCATTTGTTAGCGTTGCATTGCTTATGCTTTTGCAAACCTCATGACTTAGATTTCTGCTGACATCCTCACGATCTCGCAACGGGCAGTCCCCTTCAAATGGAATCCCGGCACCAAAATCCCCGTACATAAGCTAGAAATAAGATTGTGTGAATTTAGCTAGCCACATTTGCAGACGCACATATAGGTACATAAACACATGCGTGTTAATAACGGCTGATCCATTGCGATCCAGTCCTGCAGGAAAAATCTCTTCGTCACATATTATGAGAAGTGTAAGACGTGAGACAACCGCTGGAAAGGCAGAGGAACTAAGCTGAGTAAAATCCATGTACAAATTGGTAGTTTTGTTAGGGCCGTGTCATCTTCCTCACAAATCAAAGCATATAATCTGCTCATAATGAGGCCTTCATGTAGGATTTTCTAAGTGATGACTTGTTTCTAACTTTATTCGGACTCAGCGTAATTTTTCTCGCAATTTCAATAGCTTTTGTGCCCTTTAACAGAATTTTTATCGTCAGGTTGAGGTCCTCAGATGGTCCGACAAAGTGAATTTCGGAAGGAACTTTTATTCTTCTTTATCTACTACTGCTAAGCAATGTATTCAGACTTCTAGTCGATCGTGTCTGTGTCATTCTTCTTCACATAAACGCTAGCAGATACACACACAATAACACGGAGCACACACTAATGTATGCCTACTGGTATGGCATGCTTGTCAATAATAATTAGATATACTGGAGGCCAGGAGTGCCTGGTCAAAAGATGAGCAAATATTCTTGGGGCTCAATCTGCTATGGCCTAGTCTGGCCCGAAATACAACAGCAGTTACACCCTTGAATTTCACATAGCCTTGCTTTCCCAAAAGTTGTTCTCATCCTGGGTGGACTGCAGTTTCGACCT